CTTTAAAGAGTCCTCTCCTGCTGATGTTCATGTCAGTATGTAGTGTCTCTACTTTAAAGGTCCCATGTCATGCTTTTCCGGTTATTACCCGTCCCCTTGTGTGTTATGAAGGTTTGTATGCATGTAAACGGTGTGCAGAGTCACAAACCCTCAAAGTACACCCTGTAGCGAGTAAAACTCTAACACAGAAAATACCTCCCCAATACGCCTCGTTGGAGATACGTCATTGTCCATTTGATTCTTCCATTTCGTTCCGGGTACGGCATGATGTCATGCCGTACCCGGAACGAAATGGACCAATCCGCGGAGCCGTTACGTTAAGCCCCCGCTGATTAGTCCAAATTGACCAATCCACGGACTTCCTGACACACACACACTCTATGTGCAGGGAGCAGGCAGCTCAGCTGATTTCTCCTCCCTGGCTGCAGGCTGATAACAGACAGTTGGGATCGCGGCGAAATTCTCTCTGCAGACCCATTCTCTCTGCAGACCCATTCTCTCTGCAGACCCATTCTCTCTGCAGACCCATTCTCACAGCGTTTATCAACCTTTTTCTTACTCAATATCAAGCCACACTTATTGTTTTTAATCCGGCTGTGAGTTTGTGTGTGCTCAGGATGAGTTTGGCTGAGTTTCGCTATGTATCCTAAACAAGGAAACAACACCTCCACGGAGCTCAGCGCGATTCACAACGTCCCGACCAATCAGAGCACACTGTGCTCACAGGGAGGGTGTGGGCTGGAGCTATTGGAGCTACAACGAGCCGTTAAAGGCAGAGAGTGAAATTCAGTGAATACACGTAGTTTACAGAGATGCTGTATGAGAAACCAATGTGAGTTTGGAGAAATGCACAATATAAATCTATTTTAGTAGACCTCAACAATGGAATTATGATCAGTGGAAATGGCCATGACATGGGCCCTTTAAAGAGTCCTCTCCTGCTGATGTTCAGGTGTATATCAGTATGTAGTGTCTCTACTTTAAAGAGTCCTCTCCTGCTGATGTTCAGGTGTACATCAGTATGTAGTGTCTCTACTTTAAAGAGTCCTCTCCTGCTGATGTTCAGGTGTATATCAGTATGTAGTGTCTCTACTTTAAAGAGTCCTCTCCTGCTGATGTTCAGGTGTATATCAGTATGTAGTGTCTCTACTTTAAAGAGTCCTCTCCTGCTGATGTTCAGGTGTACATCAGTATGTAGTGTCTCTACTTTAAAGAGTCCTCTCCTGCTGATGTTCAGGTGTATATCAGTATGTAGTGTCTCTACTTTAAAGAGTCCTCTCCTGCTGATGTTCAGGTGTACATCAGTATGTAGTGTCTCTACTTTAAAGAGTCCTCTCCTGCTGATGTTCAGGTGTATATCAGTATGTAGTGTCTCTACTTTAAAGAGTCCTCTCCTGCTGATGTTCAGGTGTATATCAGTATGTAGTGTCTCTACTTTAAAGAGTCCTCTCCTGCTGATGTTCAGGTGTATATCAGTATATAGTGTCTCTACTTTAAAGGTCCCATGTCATGCTTTTCCGGTTATTACCCGTCCCCTTGTGTGTTATGAAGATTTTTATGCATGTAAACGGTGTGCAGAGTCACAAACCCTCAAAGTACACCCTGTAGCGAGTAAAACTCTAACACAGAAAATACCTCCCCAATACGCCTCGTTGGAGATACGTCATTGTCCATTTGATTCTTCCATTTCGTTCCGGGTACGGCATGATGTCATGCCGTACCCGGAACGAAATGGACCAATCCGCGGAGCCGTTACATTAAGCCCCCGCTGATTAGTCCAAATTGACCAATCCACGGACTTCCTGACACACACACACTCTATGTGCAGGGAGCAGGCAGCTCTGCTGATTTCTCCTCCCTGGCTGCAGGCTGATAACAGACAGTTGGGATCGCGGCGAAATTCTCTCTGCAGACCCATTCTCTCTGCAGACCCATTCTCTCTGCAGACCCATTCTCTCTGCAGACCCATTCTCACAGCGTTTATCAACCTTTTTCTTACTCAATATCAAGCCACACTTATTGTTTTTACTTCGACTGTGAGTTTGTGTGTGCTCAGGATGAGTTTGGCTGTGTTTCGCTATGTATCCTAAACAAGGAAACAACACCTCCACGGAGCTCAGCGCGATTCACAACGTCCCGACCAATCAGAGCACACTGTGCTCACAGGGAGGGTGGGGGCTGGAGCTATTGGAGCTACAACGAGCCGTTAAAGGCAGAGAGTGAAATTCAGTGAATACACGTAGTTTACAGAGATGCTGTATGAGAAACCAATGTGAGTTTGGAGAAATGCACAATATAAATCTATTTTAGTAGACCTCAACAATGGAATTATGATCAGTGGAAATGGCCATGACATGGGCCCTTTAAAGAGTCCTCTCCTGCTGATGTTCAGGTGTATATCAGTATGTAGTGTCTCTACTTTAAAGAGTCCTCTCCTGCTGATGTTCAGGTGTATATCAGTATGTAGTGTCTCTTTAAAGAGTCCTCTCCTGCTGATGTTCAGGTGTACATCAGTATGTAGTGTCTCTACTTTAAAGAGTCCTCTCCTGCTGATGTTCAGGTGTATATCAGTATGTAGTGTCTCGACTTTAAAGAGTCCTCTCCTGCTGAGAAAAGTGTGTGTTGTGGTTCTCAGCTGACGATGATGAAGAAGAAGGAGCAGCTGCTGCAGGAGTTTGATGAAGGGCCTCTGGACTTTCAACCCACCTACAAGTTTGACCTAAACTCAGACAATTATGACAGCAGGTAATTGCTCCAAATAACGTCGTAATCAGGATCTAATTTATCATAATCACACTTCTTATGTAGACATAAATAATTTAATTGAATATTATTTACTTAGTGCACATTTTTAACTTAACTTCTTAATTTTATTTAAATATTTGTATTATTTATTATCTTTTTATTGAATATTTTTACTATAATGTCTTATACATGTAGAGTGGTGCAGGAACGAGTCCTAAAACCAGGAAGTGAGTCAGCATTTCACCACTTCCTGTTCCCTCGTCTCAGAGCCAATGGGATCTCTCCATAGGATTTTGTTCTGTTCTGCTTGAAAGCAAGTGCCTGCCTCCTGCAAACTGTTCAAACAAACGCTTCAACTTGTACCATTTTGAATCTGTATGTTTGAATATGGATCTTAAGTTGGCGTGACGTTGAAGTCGTGCTGCTGTAGTTCGTTTATAGCATAACATTAGCATTTTACTTCTGGCCATTAGATTTATGATTCAAACATTATAAAAGTAGGGTAGACATGTGGAGATTATCCGGCTGAACAAAACGTGATCCGTCTCTTAAATGTGTCTCAACCACAGACCTTATTTCCAGCTATTTTCTAAAATCCTATGGAGACATCGCATTGCGTTTTTGTCGAGGGAACCGGAAGGAACCCATGCGCAGCTTACTTCTGGGTTTTAGGACGCGTCACTGTGGCACTCTATGGTTATTTAATTTCTTATTTTTATACATATATTACATTTTTATTTTATTCAATTTTATCTTCTTTTTGCACAATCTTTTCATCCTCTTATTAAACAATATATTTTCTATTTTATTTATTTTTTGCACATTTTTACCTTAATTCCTTGTTTTTGTAAATATAATTTAATTCCTTTTTATTTTATTTCCTTTTTGCAAATGTTTACTTTAATTTCTTTTACCTCCTGTATGTTTTAATAATAATATTCTGATTCTGATTTAAACTCCACAGGCTCTACAGGAACTGGTTTGGCTTTAAGTAAGAGCTTGTTGTCCCTTTACCTAAATGATATCAGCCTCTTTTTAATTCCCCTAACTGCACATATGCTACTTTTAACATCACGCTATTCCCCTTTTTACGTAGAATAACCTCTAGTTAAATGCTTCAGTAACGCACGGCACAATAAACAAACAAAGCAGGTGCAACTAACTGTCTTTCTGAGACACATTTGGGAACGTCTACGCACTACACACATTATTTGATTTGAATCTACTGATACAGATGGTAGAGATGCACCAAGACACATGTAAAGCCAGGCTCTTATAGCTCACAGACATGGATGTAAACAATGCACATTTAATTAAGTTCTCAAAGCATTTACTTAACAATTGTTTTATGAGCTTTTTTCTGCATATTAATACATTGATAGCACTACAGCTCATAGCAGGGTGTTGTCTGCACCACAGGGAGATTTCCCCCGTAAAAAGTGATGCCAGAAAACAATATTTCTGTTCCTCAAAAACTGTTTAATTACTCCAGAAATATGAGTATCAAACAGAGCGTCAGACGGCAGAGACAGCTTTGTTTTTACGAAGCTCCGACGTCACGTTGTTGTTTACGTCACGTTGTTGTTTACGTCACGTTGTTGTTTACGTCACGTTGTTGCAGCGCCATCTTGTATACGGGCGTCATGTTCTCGCCAGAATTGATATATCTTATAAACAAGCTCAGCGCCACAGTATCACCTCATACAGATGGAGCATCTTATTTCAGACAGTTTGAAACGCGAGGGTCGTGATTGGTCCGTGATTGGTCCGTGATCGGCCCGTGATCGGTTCGTGATGAAGAGCCGGCCCCCAGTCTGACTTGATACCACCCCCGTGATAAATACATTTCATTATTGTGAAGCCAGCTGCAATGGATCATTGATCCACCAGGGGGTGCAGTGGGGTTCCACACTGGAGCTCATGTGAAATCAACTTCGATACAGTAAACTGGATGTTGTGGTGCCGAGAGACGGGAGTCGGAGGCGGGGTATCAAAAGTACAAGCTAAACTTTTATTTAGCATCTGAACACACATGTAAACAACTTCATGCCCGGGAAGCGAAGACAGGCGGAAACAGCTGGTCTGGTTCACTAAAATGTCCGTGCGGAACAATACCCCAACCCATAGATCCGTGGGTGAATAATGTCAATCACCACAATGTACAGTATGTCTGGTACTAATGTATAGCGGATCTTTGTTAAGATCCATATGTCACGGATAGTATCATAGTCTGTACTAAATAAGAGACATGTAATCATTTACAAAACATCACCATGTTGTTATTTAACAAAATAATGTTGTTTAGTCGAAAAAAACGAACGAGAGGAAATGCAGCCGGCTCTCGATTTTTAATCCTAATTTAATCATCATCTTCACCACGATCATTTATGTTTATGTTCGCCGAATTGACATGAAATCACTGACAAATATGAATATACTGTATTCAACTTCATTAAAATGTTATTAACGTGCCTAAACTCAGTAATTCACTAAAAATATTTATATTTTAATGGAGCCTTGTCAGGCAGATCAAGATCCGCGTAGCGGAGGGATCTTGATCCCTGGGTGTTATTTTTCCCCATAATGACCAAGTCGCTGCAAATTATCCCGCTTATTACATGGCCACATTCTCAACAAAGTAACGACATGACTCCCAATATTAATTGAAATGCTTTTATGGATTTAGAAAATGTTTTTATTGATTTAAAAAATAGTTGTATGTATTGATTTAAATTGACATGCATCCGCCAAGAAAAATAGTCCGTTGTTACCGTTTTTTAAACAGTCAGAATGAAACGGCAGCTCTCAGCTGTGTGTTTACACACCTAATGGCCCATCAGCCACAGCTCTCTCCCCCCCCTGATCTTTCTTTCCCAACAGTTAAGTTAACTGTAGGTTACTCTGAGTGACAAGCTTACAGTTAGTGAAGTAACACTTTTTTTTTGTGAGTCACGACCTGGCTGTTTCATTCTAACATAACGCTCCAATATGACTGTTTCCACTCGGACTTCAATACAGCAACACCATTGTTTGGTTTCCATGGTAGCGTGTCTCTTTAGTAGCGTGCACTCCTTTCCTGTAAATTACTAAATTAGTTTTTAACTGAAATGATCAAATAAAGTCAAAATGTCACAGTGTTTACAAACATTGACCATACCGTTCACCAGCCCCCACCCCCCTATGTTGAGTAGGCTATACTCTTTGTTTAAAACTAATTGGCCATCGGAATGTGTGTGTCCCAACCCCCCCCTGTGATATCTCTTCTCCAGCAGTCTGTAGGTTTGTGTTCGCATATTTATGCTGTCGCAGTTCCTGTTGTTTCTATCGCGCATTGCCGGTATGAAAGGGTCTGTGCCGGAAATATCAAGATAACACGGCAGGGTCCGTTAACATGACTGAGGCTTTTTAACATAGACTTTTCCAATGTCTGAGTGTAATATCTGCATTTTCTATTTTGGTTTGATAAGGACACATCCTGGGGATTGTGTTTACAAACATTGACCATACCGTTCACCATCCCCCACCCCCCTACTGTATGTTGATTTTGTTTGCCTACATGTAAATGGGTGGCATTTAGTACCCCCCTCTGAGTGAATACCTTTTGTACCTGTCCGGGGCTAAGCCCATAGGACGATGCTCTGATGTCAACCCCCCCCCGTTGACAATTCACGAGCGTCTAACTCTCTCCCCCCTCCCCCGTGGCACCTTCTAACAGAGCCCCCCCACATATCAAATCCCAATTTAACCCCTGGCCTCTGGAGCAGAAATGAAAGAGTTTTAAAAATGTTTACGTTTTGGTAAGGTTTTAGGGAAATGTTGTAATATTGCAACGTTGGCCTTAGGTGGGAGCAGAATTTCTGTATTTCTACTCACATTGTCTGAATAAATATATTGAACAACTAAGGGTTAATTTGCAGGATTGATTGCTTACTTAGCCCTATATCAGTATATAGCATGAATAATAATCACACATCACTCATATTTGTTATGAATAATCATTTATTAAATAGTAAGTCGCTTTGGATAAAAGCGTCAGCTAAATGCAATTTATGAAAGCCTCACTCAGGATTTTTTTAACAAGTGTTTTTATTGCTCTTGGGGCATTAAAAACAAGATTTAACTTTAGTTTTTTATATAATATCTGCATTTTCTCTTGTGAAAAACTAAGTCTTAGTTTGGCCATAGTTATTTAATAGATAGCGCCATCTCCTGGTTAAATCCTGAAATTGAAAATCTGGCAACGCCCTCTTGGAAAATAGTGGGAGGGCTTAACATTCCCAGATACTGGTCTTTGGCAGGTCTTAGGCAGGTAGCTGGCTGGTAGTAGGCAGGAAGCTGTATGCTGGAGTCTGAAATAAGATGCTCCATCTGTACTATATCTTTCTAGAAAAACCCCTGGATAGGAATAATATATAATTTGGATTTTGAAGTCAACCGTTATCATAGAAGATGCATTTTTACAAGGAACCATGAATGTATATATAACTCCACAGGGTGCTTTTAGATGTTAGTAGTCGGTATTAACCTGCATTTAACCTCTGAGCATGTTTTTTATATGTACAGTTAAAGCTCTGAGCTGCGGCTGCATAACAGCTAACATGCATGGCTACAATACACATATCATTATAACACAAGAGATATGTCACTGTGTGGATAATTCAATATGTTTGTGTTGGATTTTATTGAATTACCCAAACATGGTACCACTGTTCCTGCAGGTTGAAACAATTTGTAAATATTGTTTTCCTCAGCCTGATTTTAATACACTTCAGACTGAGGAGAGTTTAAAATCTGTCAGACTTCTACAGACTTTTCCATTCAAAGTCAGGCAAATACCGGATAATGTAAACGCTGGTTCCTGGTAAGTTATAAACAATTTGGACCTCGGGTGCTTCTCAATGTCGAGGACGCTTCCTTGGTAGGACATGTCCCTCCGAGTCAGGTCCTTCAGAGGCTAGGCAAGAATCCTTCCTTTCATTCGGAGAACGAAGAATGGGACAGGCGAGCAAGTGTGCAGGTGTGCGTCATACACATGTGCATCCTCGACATTTCCCGCAACGCAGGATTCAGAATTCCAAGGATCCTGGACATTGGAACAGTCCTTCGGCGGGACTCGATGACGTAGCATCCTTGAAATAGTGGCTCTGGAGCATCCTTCCTCGACATTGAGAAACACCCCTTATCTCCTCACTAAACCTCCCCTCTTTTCCTCTTCTTCTCTTATCACATTTTCCAGCGGTAAGAAGCGTAAACCGGCCTGGACCGACAGGATTCTGTGGAGGCTGCGACCCGCTGAGGAGGAAGAGGGAAACTCTGCTCTGGAGGTGGAAGAGGAAGAGGAGGAAGAGGAGGAGGAGAAGGAGGAAGAGGAGGAGTTCCCGCTGAAGATCAGGCAGGATCTGTACACCTGCAACATGGAGTTCAGCATCAGCGACCACAAACCAGTCACCGGGGTCTTCACTCTGGAGGTGAGACTCACACAGATACACTGCAATATCTCTCACACACACACACACACACACACACACACACACACACACACACACACACTCACACTCACACTCACACTCACACTCACACTCACACACACACGTATCCTCTCCTGGTATTGGTTTTGGATGTATGCACTTTAAAAGCTAATGAACTTACACGTTTTCCTGCTGTTCTGAAATGTTATCACCATATTTTAATAATTAATAATAATAATAAATAAATAATAAAATAATTAATTTTAAATTGTTACTTAATTGTACGTCGCGTTGGATAGAAGCAGTAGCGAAATGAAATGTAATGTTTTATTGGGTTTTACCTTTAAAAAGCTACGCTGATTAACCTGGTGTGTGTGTGTGTGTGTGTGTGTGTGTGTGTGTGTGTGTGTGTGTGTGTGTGTGTGTGTGTGTGTGTGTGTGTGTGTGTGTGTGTGTGTGTGTGTGTGTGTGTGTGTGTGTGTGTGTGTGTGTGTGTGTGTGTGTGTGTGTGTGTGTGTGTGTGTGTGTGTGTGTGTGTGTGTGTGTGTGTGTGTGTGTGTGTGTGTGTGTGTGTGTGTGTGTGTGTGTGTGTGTGTGTGTGTGTGTGTGTGTGTGTGTGTGTGTGTGTGTGTGTGTGTGTGTGTGTGTGTGTGTGTGTGTGTGTGTGTGTGTGTGTGTGTGTGTGTGCGCAGCTGAAGAAGAGGTTCACTGCTCCTCTGGTGCGTGTGAAGGCAGAAGGAGAGTGGAGTTCAGAGCTCGACGCGGTGGTTCTGTACCGAGCGATGCAGCCGTTCCCCTCCAGCTCCTGGGACTGGATCGGACTCTTTAAGGTCAACCAGGGTCATTCAGAATAACAAGGGTTTTAGATGGGATGAATGTGAACGATATTGGGCACCCTTTGTAATAAATAATGCAAACACAAATGAAATATAAATATATGGCTTTTACATTCCCCCTGTGACCATCTTGATGTGTGTTTGAATGCAGGTGGGGTTCAGCAGCGTGACGGACTACATCACCTACACCTGGGTCAAAGACGACGAGATGAACTCCAGTGAGGAAGCCACTCAGGTAGAGACTCCTGCAACACCTTTAATAACATGTTTGAGTTATTAAAATACCTATGTTTCAAATTATCAACATGACACAGCGTCTTATTTAGACGTTAGAGAAACCTAGATGCACGAGGATGGACAAGGAACGGCTAATTGGTGAATTTGAAATAAAAACAATACAAATTCAAAGGTTTGAATGTCATATGCACATAAGCTTCAGTGGAGAAATGGAAATGAACATCTTATGACTCCTCCAACAATGCAACATATATAATAAAATACAAAAATACAAATAAAACATAGTGCAAGAAGTCTATTTACACGTAAATAGAAATTGATATATACAAGAACAGAATGTAAAATGTAATATTGTACAGTAAGATGACATTTAATACGGTTTATTACGGTGATAACTATTTTGATAAATAAGTAAATTGCAAGATGACAGTCATAACAAATCATACATTTATGTTCATTTAATTTAGGGCTTTTCTAAGGACTCAAACAACAACCTTTACAATAAATATTTCATAGACAATAATACACTTAAATTAAATGAATTATAGACAAACTATAGAACAGACATTTTAATTAAAATGAGGACCCTAACCCTGAAATAAGGACTTATCCATATGATAAATCCTTATTTCACTACACAAAACACAAAGTTTTCTACTTGTTGATAGTGTCAACATTCAGATATTCTGCAAATTATTTTAATTTTAGTTTAAGTTACTTCATTGTATTTTAATTGTGTTTTAATGTTATCTTTTTTAAATATTTTATTATATTTTTTTAAATAGTTCTAATACAAGTTCTATATTTGTTTATTTTTTTCAAATTATTTCCTCTTACTGTGTTTTTCCAAGTGAATTCATTCTATGTGTAAACGTACAACAACGATATATCTATTCAAATTTAGGACATTAATCGACATCTCTAAGCACCAACTACTTTTCTCTGCAGGTGTATGTGAGTAAAGAGGAGATCCCTGTGCGGGGGGGCGATTGTGTGTTGTGTTACTACAGCGGTGCTCTGCAGTGCGTCATCGGAGTCAGTGAACCATTCAAGGTGAGACACACACACACACACACACACACACACACACACACACACACACACACACACACACACACACACACACTGTACACCAACAATAATCTATAAGTATGTATTTAAAAACTGTTTTAAAAAACTGTTAGGCAATTAAAAAAATGTGAATAAATGTTGATAAGAAATATAAATATAAATATTTGACTTTATGACTAATTAAAGTAAATTACTGCAGTACATAAGAATTTAAAATAAAAAGTGTTAAAACGTGAAAAAATAACTTTTAAAATCCTTTCCAAATTTAGCTTATTACCAATGATATACAGGTCACTTTAGCGTTCTTATGCTGTCAGCGAAGACTTTTTTTTCTAAATATGGCCGTGTCATAATACTCAATGCCGGTTCTACTTAATTTGCATAACAATAAACCAGTCTGAGCTCTTAAACCTGGCCCAGTTAGTCCCAGTCGGACTTCCTTCCTCTCAACACAATACAAAGGGGCTTTATTGGCATGACCACATTTTAAACATAGTATTGCCAGAGCATTCCGCACAAGGCGTTATAACAGAACAAAACAAAAATAAACACTAAACATAAATGTCAACAATACATGTGACACAACGGGGGGTTACGTATTGTAACCCTAGTTCTATAAGCACAGGCGGAGCCCTCTACTGGACTCTGGGTACTACTCTCATCAATGATACGCGAGCGTTCACACACGCGAGCGTTCACACACGCGAGCGTTCACACACGCGAGCGTTCACACGAAGTTGTATAAACGTAGCCGGCCAATCAGGGCGAGCCTACCTGAATGCGCGCGCAGGCTCACAGTATATAAGGCAGCTACACCTCCTGACTGTCATCCTACACCCTCTTCTGCGAGCGGCATAGGGAAGACAGGGCCCCTAGGTAGAGGGCTCCGCCTGTGCTTATAGAACTAGGGTTACAATACGTAACCCCCCGTTCTATCTCACACAGGCTCCGCCCTCTACTGGACTCTATGGGTACAGTGGGTGGAGCCCCGATGAATAAATGCCCTGTCGCCCCACACATCGACCCACCACACTGCCCCTGACCGGCCTTTGGTTAACAGCCATCGCACCCCAACTTCCTATCACCCGGTTGTGACCGTGGAGAAGTCGGGGCCGCAGCTTACTTGGCTGGGTAGAGCCTAATTGGTCTGAATAAGCCCATAGCTCCACCCTGCAGGTGCCAACGCAAGTGACTACACACTGCGCACTACATCTCTCAGGTCCCTAAGGAGCATGGGAAAACATAAGTGCATTATGTCCAAGGGGGTCAGATACAGCTTACTGACCCACAGCCCTCCTCCTTTCACCAGTCCTGTGTTGCCCCAGCAAGCACCGACGATGAAAAAGGAGCCAGATATGTCTAAGAGATACTTACCTTATGAACGGGCCTGGCGTAGACCAAGACGCCACCGTGCATAGGTGGACGACTAAAGCCGTCTCGCTGTATAACCCTCGACCTGGAAGAACTCCTTAGGTTCTTGGGAACAGAGGAGGGGTTCAGTCTGAGTGTCGCCCTGCTACGGTCACCGGAAGGCATGAGCAAGCCCCTTGTCCACCAGTAGCTATAGCTAGGATAGAATAGAGCCCAATGTACCGGACAGAGGCTCTAGACTCCTTTCCTCGCACCAACGTTCAGTCCGCAAACTGCCTGAAGCAGGGACGTCTGTCTGTCCTCTGACAGAGTGGCACGTAGCCTGCCCTCTTTCTCGATGGGGGGTACACCTCTCTCTGGATGGAGGCGTACACCTCGCTCTTGACGGGGGCGTACACCTCGCTCTCGACGGGGGCGTACACCTCGCTCTCGATGGGGGCTGCATTGAGCAAAATCCCCAGATACCCCACCTGCTGGTGAGGTATGGGACTGCTCTTCTTCCAATTGACCGCAAACCCCCAACTTGGTTAGGTGTAAAATCAATTGGGCTGTGTGGAACATCTGCCCATTCCCTGGACCTGGCCATGACTATGAGGTCGTTGAGATCAAATAAAACCCTAATGCCATGGTCGCGAAGCGGCTGAAGCGCTGTGGCCACACATTTGCTGAACGTGCGTGGGGACAGGGAGTAGCCGAACGGTAGTCTGTTGTACTCGTAGGCTATCCCCTGGAAGGCAACACGCAAATACTTCCTGTGTTTTGGCTTTCTGGCAATTTCGACATGAAAGTAAGCGTCCCTCAGGTCGATGGTTTGTGAACCAATCGCCCGGCTGTACCAGTTCCAGTAACTGTAGGAATCCCAACCACTTCGTCCTGTAACAGGCTGTGGTGGATCCCGCCCTTGCTGCCTGGATAGTCTGTATAACTTTGTCAGACAGTCCACCCCTTCTCAGCCTGTCCCTCTCAGGAGCCAAGCCTGGAGAGGTCTGCCCAGAGTGGGTAACGCCCCTATTGCACCTGCAGTGGAAAGGCGTAGAGCAGCTATCTTGGCCATGGCTCGTGTGCAAACTTGTCCACCCCCAAGGGTGGATTGTCCTGCCGAGCCAGGGAGAACCACCATTCGTTGATGGTGGTTGCCATGAGGCCGGCCCCCCTGTTCTCCAGAGAACGCCTTCAGAGATAAACACATTCTCTGAGGCCCACAACCACAGGTTCTCCGCTGCGCTCAACAAGGCGACGGAGCTGACTCCGTCCTGCCTGTTGATGTAAGCCACTGTGGTGCGGTTGTCGCTCCTCACCAGCACATGTTTTCCCTGTAGTAAGGGTTTGAAGTGCTGTAGAACCAGTACTACTGCCTGTAGCTCGAGAAGGTTGATGTGCCGGGTCTCTGTCAGAGGCCAGCCACCACCTATAGCTGTCTCTAGGCAGATCCCTCCCCTTCAGCAAATGCTTTGGGGACCCCCAGTATCGGGGGTTGCCCTCCACTGAAGGGGGGATGGTCTCCAGACGTCGTTTGTGCCTCTTGGGATTTCTAAACGAACCAACCTGAAAAGGGCCGAGCCTCTGCGTAGGTCCTTGAACGCACCGCGCGCGGCCAACTCTCGCGGGGGCGCGCGCTTCGCTGTGTTCACATCAACGGCGAAGTACATTTTAATCGAAGCCACTATACCAGGTGAGGTGTTTTTTCTGACAGCAATACACTGGCTATAGTGTCCCTGACCGCACAGTGCTTTGACGGCCGCCCATCCGCTGGCTCCTCTACTGGAGTTTACAGCGGGAGTGGCGAGTGTGCTCACAATAGCGCTGCTTTTGAAACGCTGCGTGACCGAGGCTATCGATCAAAAGAGCCCCTCCGTAGACACGGGGGCTCCCAGGAGATCATCACGGTCACTTTTTCGAGAATGCCGGGAGTCCCAGCCAGCCGTGGCGTGATCCCACTGTGGCCAGGGACATCACCCGGCCAACAGCGGCTGCCACACCATGGATCAGGTTATTAATTTGGCCGATGCTGCGGTCCAAATAATCGCTCTGATCCGGTGAGGTGGGGGCATCTTGCGGAGGAGTAATCAGCGAGACGCCCAACACACCCGTGTCATTTGCAGCCGCGGACATCCGCTCCAAGCCGGAATATTCTATCAAAAATATTCCAGCGTTTTCCCTGTCATGCGGCAGCGGGGGCAGAGGTTCTCCGCCCAGCCTGCTGTCTGTGCCAGGCTCTCATCGAGGGGATTTGAGGTCTCCGTGCGGCCCCGCACCCTCAGAATACCTACCATTTCTGCCACCGGAGCTCTCGTTTTCAGTGGCTGTTGCCACGACGCCTCCACACACTGCCAGATATCTGGCAACGGGGGCGAGATGAAAGCCGGTTGCGCCGGGCAGGCCGGACTGGACCGTAAAACCCCTAGCGGAGGCGGCTGGCTTCGGTGGCAGTGGTGGGGGGACGAAGTAATCTTCTTCCTCCTCAGCAAACGGAGCCATAACCCACACGGCTGGGATGGCGAACGTTGGTGGCGTCGCCTCGGCCATATCCTGGTCTCCCACGTCCACCACCTCGAGCTCGTCTTCGGCGTGGTCTGGTCTCAGGCTCTAGAAACAGAGCTGGTGGGGATCGGCGCCCGCTATTAAGCCGGGCATGAGGGACAGGCACGGGTTTCCTGCAGGGCGACTCCATTTGCTTGCCTGGAGGTAAGATACTTATTACTTGTTTTTTTCGAATGCTTTTCTGCTCAGGTGTTGTCTCGCTCACTGAAGAGAAAAGGATGACAGTCAGGAGGTGTAGCTGCCTTATATACTGTGAGCCTGTACGCGCATTCAGGTAGGCTCGCCCTGATTGGCCGGCTACGTTTATACAGCTTCAGTGTGTGAACGCTTGCGTATCATTGATGAGAGTAGTACCCATAGAGTCCAGTAGAGGGCGGAGGCTGTGTGAGATAGAGTAGCATAACACAAAACATACTGTAAAATAAAATATATATATATATAATACATATATCTGTCTTTTAGGTCCTTTCTTCAAAGGTAGCCAT